GACTAATAGTTAATACATACCTAGTGTTGCACCAGAAAATCACCACTAAGGATTTGATTAACAATTGTGGTGTTCGGAGAATAAGATCTTTTATTAATAGCTGTAACGAAGCGATTACAAGAGATGACTTATCCGAGAGGTTATGCCGAGATGAAAAGAAAGTGTTTGCGAAGTAAACTAGAAAGCGTTGGAGTTCTTGGTTTTTTGCTCTGCTGCTCTCTAGATTGTATGAGTTGTTCTTTTCAGCTTCGGGATCTTCTTATTTGTAGGGATAGGAGGTCGGTTGCTCCGAACTCCTTTTCCTTTTCTCTTTGGAGAATATTTCCGTATTTGCGATATGGAAATATCTCTTATTCTCCGAAGAATATGAAAATTCTCCTTTATCATTCGAGTCAATTCGATGCTTCCGGATTCGAAGATTATCTCTAGGAGTTTTTCTTTTCTCCGAGCTAGGTCGGCATAGTTTTCTTGGTCATGGTGGGCTTAGGTTATTGCTAGAGAAAGCCTTTTAGAAAATGTGATCATTTCCCCTCTAACAGTAAGTCTCCCCCCCCCCCCCCCCCCCCCCCCCCCCCCCCCCCCCCCCCGGCGAGATTAATTGTAAATCAGGTCGGTGGACTTCATGAAGTTAAGCGGTTTTGATCTCGCAATAAGCGTCAGTTCGTCAAGAGCGTTTTTTCGCAATGGCCAGCTCGGCCCGATTTAAATGGATTTGACGCATGGCGCTTCCTCGGAATAAATTATTAAATATTCCGACCTATTAGGGTTTTACTCTGAGTGGGAAAGGCGAAAGTTTTGCTAGGCGGCGAGATTGTGCGAATCTCGACACGCGTCCCTTTAGGAAACTGTTGACATTTCCTTCTGATTTTATTACTTAGTTTTTATCTCTTCGTCTCCTTGTTCCAGAATTCTCTTCTTCACACTGTTTTTTTTCTGCGAAAATTATTTCGTTGCTTCAAAATATTTTTATTTTCTCGCCGATCTTCATTCCTTCTCCTCTATTTTTCTAGAAATATTATTTTTTGCTGAAGAATGTCGAATTCATCGGAGAGTTTTTCTTTTAACGATGACGAGATTCCTCTCGCCGGTCGGCGAGCCTGGATTAGTCTTGTTCCTTCCGCTTCGAATTCCAGAGAATCCTCGGGTTATCGAGATGAGATCTCGCCAGACAATCCTGACATTGAATCTGAGGTGGAGTCGGAGAACTTAGAGCCGGAGGGCTTTGAGCCAGAAAGCAGGATCGAGGGCCTTCTGCAGAAGATTGCGATGTCGAAGCACAGGACTGGCATCAAAGATGGGAGGACCTAGACGACCGCGGAAAGACTCCAGGAGCTTCGGTCAAAATGCTGTTTTCCTGAGGGAATCGAGCTTCTACTTCCCCAGGTCCATGAGAGAGTGACAACACCACCGGAGGGCTATTTTTGCATCTACGAATGCCACTTCGTGGATTTCGGCCTTCGATTCCCTATCTCGTTACTTCTCCGTTAGTGCGAACGGAGGAAGATGCCGGTGGCGCATCTCTCTCACGCCATAATTCGCCATTTCAATAGTTTAGTGGCGGTTGCTCGGATGGCGAAGGTATCTTTCAACTGGGACATCTTTGAGAGGATATCTATTTTGAACAAAGGGAGGCTAAACAGTGGGGGGGTGGTGCCATTTTTACACTACGCTGAAGGAGGGGATTGTTGGTGGGGATCCAACAAGCAAATTTCACGAATGGGACCAGTTTTTCTTCTATGTAAAGATCAACGAGGCGTCCATTAGCAGTTATGTGCTTGATTTATTCAGGACTTGGAAGTCGATGCCATGTAAGACGAACCAATCTTTTTACTTTTTTTTTTGGCTGATTCCTAGGTGTTGACATGCTCGCTCCTCTTCTTTGCTATGGTAGTGGCAATAAGTCTCGGGAAGGACCCGTTTGGTTTCGACGTTGATGTCATGAAACTGTGCAAGTTGAGCCAGCAATTATAGTCTGAGAAGAAGGGGGTCGCCGAGAAGAAGAAGAAGTTGGCCAAGCCGGCCGAGAAGGGGGCCAAATCTTCAAGAGCAGGTGAATTGCTAGATCAAAGTGATTTTTATTATTATTTCTTTGAAGAGTAGCATCTTATTTGCATGTTTGCTTGGTATTTTCAGCCGCTAAGAGGACCTCGCAGCTGAGGCCCAAAGGGGCTGGCCAGAAGAGGAGAAGGGCGGCTCCGGCAATGAATGCGGATACTCCTGTGAGCTCCTCTGTGAAGCAAAGGAGAATGACTCCTCAAGATCCACCTATTTTGGTGGACTCTAACGAAGCCGAGCTGGCTGCAGAGAATGAGACTCTTGCGAGGTAAATCCTTACTCTCACTTCGTGTGATGCTTTGATGCACCGAGATGATTTGTTGACTTTCTGTTTGCTTCTCTTTTTCTTTTTAAAGTTTTTCCAGGGCAGCGGCGCTAGAAAGGTTGAGGCGAGCTAGGGCCGAGAAGGCTGCAAGGGGCTCTCAGGGCGGAGTGTTCCAAGGAACTACCTCTCAAGCCGTAGGCAGGGGTAATGGGGGTCCCCCATATGCTGCCGCGAGCTGTCGTGAGGCTGTTCCCTTGCCGCTCCGGGCCGATATCCCTCAGAGTCCCGGGGGTCCAGGATACAGAAGATGCAGGTTGGGAAGAGACTGAAGAGCCTGCTATGGCTCGTCCTGAGGGGCCTGCTCCCTCACAGGATGTTCCGGGCACTGATGGTGCTGGTCCAAGTGCTCTCGCCGAGCCTAAGCAGGAGGAGTAGTTCTTCGATTATAGCCCTCATCAGTTATGCGCGAAATGGGATGGGGCCACTCTGGCGATGCTCAACCGCGAGTTCGCCGCAAATTTAATCTGGAAGTGCAGGAAGAACCTAAGGTGGGGTAAACCGCTTCGAGAGCTGAAGTTGGCGGAGTCGTTATCCTCGGCGAATCATTTGATAGCCCGGATATTTATTTTTTGGTGCTAGTGTGTTTTTGTTTTGTTTTATCGTGCGTTTCTAACAGTATATCCTGATGCAGGATTTGGGAACGTATATGTCCGCATTCGCGACATATGACAATAATTAATGTCAAGAGGAGATGATGTTGGGTGCTGCCTGTACTCTCAGAGAGGCGGAAGAGGAGAATCAGCTTCTCAAAGAGAAGTGCGCCCAGGTCGAAGGCACCATTGAAGCCTTTCGGGGCAAGGTGGTGGAGGCGTCTCAGCTTCACAAGCAGGTCACAGCCCTTTAAGCGCAGAATGAGGTCCTCGAAAAGCGGAACAAGGAGAACTTGCAAAAGTTCCTTGTCGAAAAGGAGAAGCTTCAAAGTTCTCGCGATGAGGTCTCGCAGTGTATTGCTGACAAGATCTTTGATGGTGTGATTTCTTGGTTTAAGTCGCAACTAGAGCGGATTCAGGCATCACTTGTTCAGCGTGAAGAGGTAGAAGCTGCCCTTGTGGGCGTGGAGAAAAGTGGCTCAATGGTGGCGTTCCTGAAGAAGATGCAGGACAAGGAATGGGAACTCCCTGCCGGGACACTTCTGTCTTTTGAGAGGGAGTTTGCGAAGTGGCGGGCTACCAGTGTTGTTATCGATAAGATAGTTATTACTGGTGAGGACTTTAGCCTCCCGAGCAGATCGGAAATCGATGACCTGCTGAAGTGAGCGTGAAGGGAGCCAAGAAACGATCCACATTGAGCCGTTTGCCTTCTTTTTGTTTGCGTATATATTTCTTATTTGACTGGCCCTTGCGTGGTCCTTTTTGAAATGACTTTACCCGAAAGGGTTTTTATAATGAATTTACGTTTTGCTCTTCGTTTTTCTTTTTGCAAAAGTAAATTAAAGTATCCGTAAATACTTTTACAGTTTATGTGATTTGAACTTTTTAGTTCGGAGTTGGGAGCGGGATTCCTTTGCCTATCTTATCCCAAATGGCCATCAAGATCGAACACCAAGCTATCAGGGTTCACTTCGGTCTGAAAGGTATGATCGAGGATCGTGCGAGTATTGTCCTCGGCTTTCATCTTATCCTCTTCGGAAGTAATTAAATCAAACTGAAGTATCGAAGGAGTGGTGATCAGCCACTAATTTAATTTTTGCTTTTGCTTTTTGGAATCGAATGTTTGGCCAGAACACCGATTCAGTAAGATCCATTCGCATAAGAAAATACTACTCTACGTGCCGAGCTGATTTTCCAAAATAAAAATTTATTAAATCTACAGCTGCACCCGAAGGTTGGCTTGCTCCGGTGTCTCGAAGATCAAGCGTCGTCCTAGCGTTTCCGATCTCGCGGTGGTCGAGGCTGCCAAGGTGTTGAGTTGCTCGTCATACTTGGCTTGCTGGGCCTGAAGGGTGTCTAGCTTGGACACCAGGTTTTGTGTGAGAGGGAGTAGGGCAGCTTGGATCGCTGCGGCGAGGTCGGTGGTGAGGACAAGATCTAAGGGTGCTCCTGTGGGTGGGATCGCGATGGTAGGGTTGCCGTGCTCGTCGAGAGCAGGTGTGTCAGTGCGTGTGGTGGTGTCCTCGTTGTTGAGGGTAAGGTTGCTGTTGTCGATTGGGAGGCTTATCGCTTCGGCTCTGTAGTTGCTAGTTTTTTAAAATTTTATTCTCCTAGTCCCTACAGACAGGGCCAACTGTTGAACCAGAAAATCACCACTAAGGATTTGATTAACAGTTGTGGGTTTTGGAGAATAAGATATTTTATTAATAGCTGTAAAGCGAAGCGATTACAAGAGATAACTTAACCGAGAGGTTATGCCGAGATGAAAAGAAAGTGTTTGCGAAGTAAACTATTCTTAGTTTTTGCTCTGTTGCTCTCTAGATTGTATGAGTTGTTCTTTTCAGCTTTATTGTCTTCTTATTTATAAGGATATGAGGTCGGTTGCTACGAACTCCTTTTCCTTTTCCCTTTGGAGAATATTTTCATATTTGCGATATGGAAATATCTCTTATTCTCCAAAGAATATGGAAATTCTCCTTTATCCTTCGAGTTAATTCGATGCTTCTGGACTTCGAAGATTATCTCTAGGAGTTTTCCTTTTCTCCGAGCTAGGTCGGCATAGTTTTCTTAGTCTTGGTGGTCTTAGGTTATTGCTAGAAAAAGCTTTTTAGAAAATGTGCTCATTTCCCCTCTAACACCTAGAAATTTATTTGAGTTCTTCTTGATGAATAGCTTGTACGTTGTTGAAATCGATCTTGGCGAATTCAACTAAGACAATGTTCTTGTTAGGTTTCTTTCCATACACATCGATGTACTAGCCTTCTCATTCGCCAATAGTAGGGCATATCTAACGCTTGGACCACCATCTCTCGTACATCATTAGACCCAAAATCTGCATTACTATGAGCAGGGGCGGACGCAGGTAGTAACATACGGGGTAACATGACCTCAGCTAATTTTTCTTTGTTTCTATGTAATTAACATAAATTCATTCAAATACAATTAGTTAAGTGTTTTTTGTAATGTAGTGTGCCCCGGTTAAATTATGTTATAGATTGGCCACTGACTATGAGTATCAACAGTCTCTGAGTTGTTGTATTGAAAAGGTCTGATGAATTTTCGTAGTTTAGTATCTGATTTTTCCGAAAGATATGACGCCTCGTAAAGAGATATGAGACCATCACTCTCAAACTTCTCACGATTTTCCATGAAAACATCGAATACATCTGTAGTTTAACAATAATTTTTTTATTAGTTATATATAAATAAGAACAAATTTAAATACAAGAAGGATATAATTTAACATGTATGGGTGATATGAATTATGTACCTTCTGAAACATTAAAACCACGTTGTCTGAAAATTCAAAATCGAGCGCGGTAGCATGTATATCTTTTTCTATGTCACACTGCCTCATGATTCTTCTATCTTCTTGATAACAAAAAACTGTTAAAATGTTCTTGATTTCCCGCTCAAAATAGTAAGGCACACCGAGTTTTTGCAGATCGTCAATGAGCTCCAATTGGTCGAGATAAGTCGTCTTCCCATCATTGAGCATCATTCTCACCTCTTCCTTCAACAAATCTCTCTCTCCTCGCACACTTTTACCTTTCTGAAAATCCAGTGGAAATTGTAAATATACATACACATTACTATACTATACGACATCTTTGTAGACATTTATATTGTATAAGGATTTCTCTATACCACATATTTATTCTTGACTGGGAGGAGATGGTGATTGTCCCAAATAGAAGGCTGATAATTTGCGAAAAGACGTGGAACAACGGGAGACTCATCGCCCGGTGTCGTTTTGGCCATTGTGGTACATGTGAACGATTTAGGACGTGGAATAGTCTTCACAAGGGCACTACTGTGAATAAGAGGTGAACCTATCTGCATTAGACTGGCCATTAAATAAGAATGGTATGACACTAGGTCCCTTGCTTTCTAACTTTCTATACTGTTTGTGTGTATACGTACACATGCATGTATATGTTTTTTTGGGGGGGGTCAAAGCATGTATGTTGTTTGTTATGTCCACGTCTTTGCTTTGAATTTTGCGTATCTTTCAATATTTTTATATAGTGATTTATTATGATTTGGTAACACTAAATTGCTTTTAGATACAAACTATTAAAATACTACAAAATATTTTGAAAAAGTTACATCCATCTACATTATTTCATATTTACTTTAAAAAAAAACACTCATTCTAATGTTAACACACTTTTTCATTAAAAAAACAGATTTATCCTTCTCACAACTTATATCTAATAGGTAACTATATTTTTATATTTTAAATTAAAAAAAACTAATTTTATTTTACAAAAAACCATCTTTGTCAACCAAAACCCTAATTTTACGTTGCTACTAAATCTATTTTTACTGCTGGTATTGAATTTCTCAGTCAAAATCTAAGAAAGTTCTGCATGTTCAGTAGATGCAACTAACATAAACAAGGAGAACAATGAGACATAGAAAAAAGATTTGTCAAAGAAGAACATGAAACTGTTTTCTTAAAAACAAGAGAATCAATTGAAGACATAATGTGGAGAAGACGACTATGTGAAGATGACAACAATGAGAAAAAATTAGTGGTGATAACAAATTTTCTCATTTTGTTTTTTTTTCAAATTTATGTTATTGTGCAGTTTTACTGTAAGTTTTCATTATGATTTCTGGAAAATTATATAGCTCTTGATCGTTCTTAGATTGAATTCTTGACCACAGGTTGTTGTTGTTCGGTATTGCACAAAACAAGATAGACATGGACACATTCGGATGGACAAAATAATCATGGACACATTTGAATAAACAAAAACAAGATAGCGCATGGACACATTTGGATGGACAAATGATGATGGACACATTTAGATAAAAAATTGTTATAGATTTTTACATTTTGAACTACAATCTCGATGGTGAGCTTCTGTTGTTTGTTCCTACTATTGTTATTGTTGTTTTTCTTTATTTTTATATTACAACCATCAACACAGAAGAAGAGAAACCTGATTTAGCAGCACCTCAGTCTGCTCATTAATATTTTTCATTGAACTTATTACTTTGTTCATCCCTATTTTGATTGGTTATTGTAATTTGCAGGTAGTGTATGCTTACTATACAATTTTTTTCCTATTAGTACATGTTGATGATCTTGACCTTGTCGCATGGTCTAATTATGTTGCAGTTTAGAGCTATCGATGTAAACAACTCTCAGTGGGCAATTGGTAATAGATGAGATGCAGTGGACAACAACCCAAATCAAGAAACCAAAATTGATGACTAAAGAACGATTCTTACATCTGCTTTTGTCCATAGGACATTATCCACATGGCAGTATCCACATGGACATGATATCTAGGGATTGAATGGGGAACGTTACCTTAAAACTCCCTAAAATTATAAAACCATTTTGGTTTCAGAATATTGATCATTTGACTGCAATACTTGGTTGGTTTTAGAAGATTTGTTTTGCAAGTTAAATATCAAGTTCAAGATTACATACATGACTAGACGAACATAGCATTAGTTCTTAGCCATTACAGCATTACAAGCTCACCTTTATCACTGTTTCATTCCAAACTCGATATCGGCCAAAGTCTTTTCTCTCACAATCTTAAATGTAATTGAATTGCTTCGTATATAATTTTTATTTTGTTTTGTAGAGTTTTTATAGATTTAAATGCAAAGACCATAACACAATTCATAAACAAATGGAGAAATATTTTTTGTATGACCTTATTACAAAATTCTTTATCCATATGGATAGTAGAATATGGTCAATAAGTTAGTCGATAAATAAATATTGAACCGAGTTTATTTAGAAACTTCTTTAATCAGTATTCATAAGGAAAATAATCAAAATTTCTGTTAGTAGCATACATTTACACCTTAAATTACAGAAGCACATCATACTTTTATGTAAAATTTATTACCATCCACGATACACACAGAAAAAAGAGTTTCATCCATGTGTTTAAAGATTAAAGTTCACACAAGATGAACTCATGGACATGTGCGCATGGAAACGCTTCTAACACCATATTTCTATATAAACACCTTTTCTACACACATATGAGCTGAAATGGTGTAAGACATAAATCAAGTCTTCATGTAAAATGGTCATTAAATAAATATTACCTCCTCTTATGAAAAACAAACGATTTGCATCCCATCAACTGCACTCTGCAGGAGATCCCCGAACCACATATGTGTGGTCTCACAGACCAGTTAGTCGATTACTTCTGTAAGCAGTGTGCGATGGAACTCTACCGAGATGTTGTCATACCATTCAACTTCAACCCTCCAGCCTAAGGTTGATCCTCTACTTCTTTTGTGTAAATCAGGGGAACATGGCCACTATAACCTTCTTTGTACATGGCCCCTTCCCTAGTCCACTTTGAAATTACTATACATCTTTGTATTAATTGTGCCTGCATGTCGCCTGTATTGGCTTTCAGTTCATTGCATATCGACATCTCCTTCTTATCGAATACTCCATGTACTCCTACTTCTTTGCTCTGCTTTTTTTTATCGAAGATGATTAAAAATGAAACACCTTAAGTACATGATAACTATTTGATGGACTTAATCCAATAACATGGACACATTTTGCTAGACACTTTCCTACAAACTAATTACTACCCCGATAGACGAGATGTTTTTAACTTTATTCTTCAACGAAATCTTCTAAATGGTAGCCACACTTTTTTCACCACAAAGACACTCCTCAACCATGGACATTGTCTTATAGTCACCATAATATGGATACTACATGTGAACAGATGTAGAAAAAAATACCACAAACCAGTTTGGACATTACAATATGTTTAAACACAAATATTATCACGGACCATTCCTCCTAATATATATTCCTACTTATGGAATCCACCAACAATTTTTGGCACATTAGCGGCAACAACAAGCCATCCATAGATGACCTTGTTATATGGATAGCCCAAAGTGGATATATTGAATGAAATGTATAACCATCCCTTTGATTAGGCTTATCACTTGTGCAACCATATGACCATTTGACTACATGATCACCATCTAGTAGACAATGTTTCATGACCACCGATTATAAGATCATAAAATTTACGATTTTATATGCATAGCTGTAACCCCTGTTTAAAAATGCGGCCGTGGAGACTGATTACTCGCCGGGAATCCGTTTAACAGTGGAGCTCCGCTGTATTTTCCTAAAATCAGAATAAATACATTTGAGTTTTCATAGTTTTTGGTTCAAAATAGCATGATTAGAAATTAGATCTTCTATTTTCTGATAAATCTTACTGAAAACAAGAATAGAAGAGTAAAAATATATGAAAACAATGTCTGGCGGCTGGGAAATTAGGGTTGCAGAGATAAAAACTCGTGTAAGGAAGAAAATAAATTATATACAATTTTACCCTCTCTTTAAATTAAACGATAAAAAAGCTAAAAAAACAAGAAATATGACTCGAACGAGTAACCTTGAGGTTTATTAAGTAATGTTAAACCAACTATCCTCTTTGTATATTTATGTTTAACATGTTCTACTATTATATATAACATTATTTAGTAAAATATTACCTTTAAAAAAAATTCTCTCCAAGTACTCCCCGATTTAATTCCGACTTTTAAAAAAATCGCTAGTCACAGACCGAACGTCCGATTAACGATTAACGATTTTTCCAACAGGGCCTACAACGCATGAACATACCTCAGGGGACAAATTCCGGTGGTCAAACATCATCCATTTGGTCATTGTATCGTAGATAAATATGTTATTATGCACTACACCCATGGACAGAGCCTTGTGGACAAATGTTAGTGGACGACAGTTATAAGTCCATACAATTCGCACCACAAAAACCACACGTGAATGTATCTATATATTTTAGCTATAGTGGATAGATTCCTGTTCATGTAAAAAGATCATAGATGTTTTGTCCATTTGCGTATCATGTCCATGCAGTTTATTCAGAAGCTAACTCCATGTGTTCATCTAGAATAAGTCGTCCACGAGGTTAGGATATAGCGGATCAACATGAAGGATACATGCATTCCAAATTTTAATTTCATTCCAACTATCCATGTACCCTTATCCATACCTACTGAAACACCCCATCCCGGCTACTAAGATTGAGAGGTTGTCCCACGCTACAGATTACTAAGTAAACCAAGCCTTTCAGTCCGTTTTAAGGGTCTTATCCTTTAATTAAGTTTATTTAGTAAGTAATTATGAGATTCATAAAACTTTAGAGCCAATACGCAATAGATGAATGAAACAACAGGATATTTATTTATATAAAAAGTAGGATTCGATACAAAGTTAGAGATTGCACTATAGACTATTACAATGATCGATCCTAACTATCCAGACTATTCCACCACCCATCCGCCTTGCCTAGTCTCGCGCGCCTAAGCTTTTTCCTTCCCACGGTCACTTTCTTTTCCTGAAATAGCCAAGGATACGTAAGTAATCCATTCACTCAATGGATGCGCAGATTCGCCCTAATATGCATATATGATCAAGGCAATAATGCAAGTTTCTGATGTCTTAGTTTATTATTCCCCAAAAATCCCCTTTATTAATCGGCTAATCCGAACCTACGGAATTTCTCTCGGATGTGGTCGAAACGGTACGAGTCAATCAAGACTGTCTGTAGATTGTTACAACCATCGGGAGTTATCCGAGAACAGACTAGACTGGTCGTGACTGGCCATCGGCCATAATCACGCTATAATGCACATGATCGATTGCGAACAATCTCTCATAGCCGGAAGTACAGAACGAGTGTTTAACCCGAGAAAAGAGAAGTTTTGCCGAGGGATTTCTAACCGATCCGAAGACTCTCTCGGTAAAACCGATTGTCGTGAATCCCCTCGGCTATCTCCAGATCAAATCACGCACCTTTGCCTATAGT